TGCCTCCCGTCTTCCCACCCACCTGCCCCTTGCTTCTCTCTTTTTCTGCCTCGGGTGGTGGTTGGTGGGGGGGAGGGGGGGGATGGTGTCTGGTCACCTCTCTGCACGGGCACCTGGACAGAAAGAAACCCTCCCCGGGGACGCCTTTGGGGTGACTCAGCTCACCTCTGTGCGTCCTGTCTTCCAGGTTGGGCATTTGCAGGCTGGGCTTGGCCGCCTGTGAGGGTCTCGGTGCTGTGCTCCAGGTCAACCCCCACCTACGGGAGCTGGATCTGAGTTTCAATGACCTGGGCGACAGGGGCATGTGGCCGCTGTGCGAGGGGCTGGGACACCCCACCTGCAGACTCCAGAAACTGTGGTGAGCTGAGCCCTGGGCGTCGGGACTGGTGGCCGGGCGGGGGCGGTCTCCGGCTGGGGGCGCATCTCTGCCCTGTGCTTCTATCGGAGGGACATCCCTCCCCCGCTCTGGAAGAGGGCCAGTGGGAGCCCCGAGGTGGAGAGAAAACCCGCAGAGAGCTCAGGCGGTAATTTATTCTTGCCTGTAAACATTTTCTGTAAACTTTCCTCTTCTCCGCTGACATTTACTTGGGCAGATTCTTGGCTTCTCAGTGACCTTTATATAATAAAAAGTCAATCTGTTCCAGTGTGAATTTCAGTCAAATGTGAATTATCACTCCTCCTCCTTCTTTGTCCCCAAAACTCGCCTGGCTCCCACCCCGAGGGACTGTTTCTATTGTCATTTCTGAGGCTCTGGCTTATGTGCTGGTCTGGGTAGGTGGGCATCAGGATGCGGGCGGGGGGATGGGGCTCAGGGACAGCACTTTCCCCACCCCCCATCTGGCAGGCACCTCTCCCGGGGATCATATGCGCATTCTTACAGGGACCCTCCACCCCCACCCCAGGGTAGGCGCCTGCCCGTGGCGACCGACCTCCTTGCACACCCCGTCTACAGGTTGCACCCTCATCTTCCTCTCCTGACCCCCCTGCACCTGTGACGTGGGTGGTTCTTCATCAGCAAGCTGGTTTTTCTCTCTTCCTCTGCGAGTCCCGAGCTGTTGTCTTGTACCTCGTTTTGGGAGCTGGCATCTCTCGCCTCACAGCCTCAGCCAAACTAAGATTAAAATATTTCCACTTAACATCCCTGCTGTGATACTACTTCTTTCAAAAGTTGCTGTGAGGAACAAATGAAGTAAACGCAAAGCCCTTAGCAAGGTGCTCGGCACACCGTTCGTTGTTCCTCAGTAGGTGCTACCCATTCTTTGCTACCGGAAAGGCAGAGAATGCAGGAAAGAAACACAGTGGGAGGCAGATTGGAAATTAGAATCAGATGGCATATTGTTTGGGCAGGTGGCAGCCCAATTCATACTGGCTCCTAAAAGAGAGAGAGAGAGATTGACTTATGTAACTGAAAATTGGCTTCAGGTATGGCTTGATCTAGGCATTTGGATTCTTGATCTCCATTATCTTCCCCCCCCCCCTCGTTGCTGTATTGGCTCCTTTATCAAATAAGCTTTGCCTTGATCCTGCTTGTTGACAAAACACAACTTCTTACCAGGTCTAAGTTCTGAAAGAAAAAACTAGGGAAATCAAGTATGGGTCTGATGCACTGGTTTTGGGTGGGCCCTGTGTCCAACTGAAACCATTCATGGTGACTTGGAGACATGGGAACCAATCGACTTAGGCCTGGATCCTGAGCTCAAGGACAGTGTTAACCCAAGATGGACTGAGACCTGGGTTTCAATGACAGACGGGGATCGAATTACCATAAAGGGGAATGGATAGGACTGCGAAATCAGTGGGTAACCTATGGAGATGAAGTTGTGAATTGAGAAGCATCCTTAAATGCTTCCCTTAAATGTTTTCCAGCACATTGGCCTTAACCTGGACTGGCTGGGCACCACTCTGCTTTCTCTGAAACCGGTCTCCTAAAACCATCACCCTGAATCCCCTTGAAGACACTGCCCCAAAGTAGCTCTTTATACTGCTTCAACCACTGTCTTCCACAGGCTGGATAGCTGTGGCCTCACAGCCAAAGCTTGTGAGCATCTTGCTTCCGCCCTGGGCGTCAGCCAGACCCTGACGGAGCTTTATCTGACCAACAACGCCCTGGGGGATACGGGGGTCAGGCTGCTGTGCAAAGGGCTGAGTCATCCTGGCTGCAAACTTCGAGTGCTCTGGTGAGAGACGGGTTTCTGGTTCTGAAGGAGGCGGGGCCTGGGGCTTGGAGTTGGGAGTGAGGGTCAACAATCGAGATGCCTATCGGAGATGGGCAAGTAGGCCAAAAGATTCGGAAACGTCTCCTTCATGCACTAATGTATGCAAGCAGTGTGGGATGGGGAGGCCTTCCGGCCTCTTCGCTCCTCAATATCCCTGTCTATAAAAGGGGGGAAACCTGGCTGCTTCTTCTTAAAGATGGCCACAAATTAAACCAGTGAAGAGGTTAGAGACTTCGGATAGTGTGGTAGCTCAGAGTCCAGCCTACCTCCCCATGGGACTCGGTTTCCAACCAAGTACCGGATGATGGGATTATGTTAACAAGGCAGGATGTGTGAGAGATTTGAGGTTACCTTGGAATGCAGCAGCCTGGGCCTGGGATGACCTTTCCCGCTGTGTGTCCTCAGGTTATTTGGGATGGACCTGAACAAAATGACGCACAGAAGGCTGGATGTGCTTCGGGGAACAAGACCTCACCTGGACATTGGCTGCTGAATGGCTCTAGCTCTCCTCTTGAAGGCAGGGCAGAGGAAGAGCATCCCAGGACCCCGCTGGTCAACGGTGATGAGCAGGGTCTCCTGTGCACTCCCATGCAGGATGGATCCTTTCTGCTTGGGGACTGGGTCAAGGCTCATCGTGGAGCCTGGAGCTTGGAGCTTTAGTTTGGGGGATGCTACGGTCATGGACAGGACCTGAGGATTCTTGAGGGGCTCTAAGCCGATGGCAATTTTTGCACCCCTCCCTGGGACACTTGGCAATGTCAGGATTCCCCAAATGCTGGCGATCCATCCTGTAACACAGGACAGCCCCCTACAGCCAGGCCTGCAGCCGAAATGGCACTTGTGGCAAAGTTGAGGATTAGCGGTGCCGTGAGGGTGCTAGACAGTCTCGAAGGGCGGGCCGGGTGCCAGAGAATACTGGTCAGGCCAGCAGCCCCACCACCCACTCCCTTGCAGTCCTGCTTTGCACTCGGTCCTGCCGGATGGCTGGATACCTCACCGGGATTAGCCCACTGTAGGCTGGCCTGTGACCTGTCCCATGCTGCGGAGTACACGGGCGAAACCAGACTCCCTGTTGGGGCCTGGAGATAGGGAGACTCAGTCCAAGCCAGTTGATTGATCCCAGGAACGCCCAAGGACACCATGAGTGTGCTGAAATGAAGCCATTAGCCTAAGACTGTAATTTAGTAGGAAGCACCTGGAGCTTATGGAGTTAACAGTGACCCTGGAGCCCATGAAAGCCTGGAAAAGGAAGCTAACTCAGACTCGCAGACATTCCTGTGGACATCAGGGTCTCATTGACTCGACTCTTGAAACCAAGGCCTTTCCTTCCTGAGCGCCCTTGACTCGTCTGTCCTCCAGCCCCTTACAACTCCACAAACCATGCCCCAGACCCTTTGCTGAAGCTGAACAAGGAGAAACTTGGCCCACTCGCCACCCAGGCCCTTAGGTGGCCTCCAGGAAGATCTATGCACATGTCTGGGGGTGTAGGAAATATGTTAACATGCCTTAGAAGAGGACCAGTGGGAGGGGATCCTGGTCTGACAAGGTCTAGAATGCTGGGGCAAGACTGCTCCTTTGGTGTGAGCCAATTTCAGGCACAGCCCTCTAGGAGGCAAGTGTTGAAATGGAAGCCGCCCTGACATCCTCCAGATCTTAGGAGCAACCAAACTAGTGTTCGTTTGGTACCCTTAACCCACTGAAGAACCCGCAATTAGGCGTTTATCTTTAAGACACACCCCCTTTCCTTGTGATTCTTTCCCAATGTGCAATCAATCTTGGCTTTGCCTGTAGCCAATCTGAATGGAGGACACTTCACCCATGTCCCTATACTATGGTGGGGAAGTCCAGGACTTTTCAGGGCTCAATTGGTTTCAAATGTTCTACAAAACCTGTTTTAAGGTCAAAGATTTCCTTTACTGAAGGTGTAAGGGCGGGGGGAGCAGAGATGATCCAGCCCTTCCCTCCCACATTGCTGAAAAACCAAGGGCCCATTTTTAAACAAAGCCACAAACCCACACAAAATCATGGTTATTTTATTGAAGTGTTTCACCGTTTGGAGATGTTAAGGCTAAAATAGGACCGGAGTGCCTGGGTGGCTGAGTCGGTTAAGCATGTGGACTCGGTTCCAGCTCAGGTCCTAATCCTCACGTTGCCCCCTCGCATCGGGCTGAGCTGCCACAGCAGACCATGCTTGGGATTCTCTGCCCCTCCTCTGCTCGTTCTCCAAGAACCTGAACTAGGACTCAATGTAGAATAAAGGGGGTTAAGGCATTCAGAGGGAAAACCCGGTCCTTGGCTTCTTACTACCCGTGGGCTGAAGGTTGTACACAACACTCCCTTAGAACAAATGGCTGTGGGAGCCAGCCTGCTGGAGGGATGGGTGGGCTGGAAGCCGCAGCTCGGGTCCAGGACAGCAGGCTGGGAAGTTAAGCTTTCCAAGCTCTAGGACGTTGAGGATTTCCTCAGACAAGGACACACAAAAATGGGAGCACTTTCCAGACAGAGAACGGGCAGTGCCCCCATTTTGTGTACCCCAGTCTGAGCACTGCTAAGGATTTGCCTCCTAGCTGGAGGCACCACCGGGACATCTAGGTACAGAAAAAAGCCTCAGGTTATGAACGCATTAGGGGCGCACTGAATGGCCAGGCCGTAGGTGTTGACCTCGCAAAACCAAAGGGTAGATCTCCAGCCCATTCCCTGTGCCCCCAAACCCCACTTGCCTTGGAGAGCTCAGCAGTTGATACATAAGCTGTGACAGTCTGACGAGAGCAAGATGGACTCCGCTGATGGTGCCCACCAGTGACACCCAAATATAGTAGCACTTTTCACTGATTTGTCTGAAGAGTGCTTCCACATTTGAGTACCACGGGAGAGCAGAGCATTGCCCAGAGGGAGCCCGGACTGGGCTCAGAAGAACCCGACAGGTTTTTTAAGGACCCATCCCACGGTTCTGAGCGGATCTTCCCAATCGGTGACACTCAAAAAATGGCGGCACTTTCCTACTTAGAACAGAAAGTGCCCCCACAGTTTGAGTACCACAGACTGTGCTTAAGGAACACCAACCATCCCACCTGCCAGGCAAAACTCGCTTGCAGGGTTGGATTAAACCCACTTTGACCCTAGAGGTCTGGGAAGCGGTACACCCAAGTGAAGATTTATTACAAGTCAAAGTACGCGCAAACCGCCCGATTAGCACAGAAATAGCTCAGCTAAGGAGAACACTGTGCCCATGTATGTATCCGTCACCCCAGGCCCAAAGAATTTAACCACGGTGCTGGGTAACTTAGGAACTAACTTGAGGGCGGTTGTAGTTAGGCCTTCACGTGGATGATTGGAACAGCCTTACTACCCTGAAGGCCACTCCTGCCCTAAACACCCTTGAAAAATGAACCCCAGTCACACCACGGGGCACCTGTAGGCAAGAACCCTAGAAAGATGGCGAACACACCACATGGGGAGTCGTTGAGAAAACTTGGGAGCTGGGGAGCTGGGGAAAGAGGGACCAAGGGGCAGGGGAAAAGCCGTCAGTGCATGATCAGAATGCAGGAAGTAAGGGAAACATCTCCAAGACGGGAGATGGGGGAAGGAAGGAAAGAGGAGACAGCTGATACTCACAAAGAAGAAAGCAGGAAGGCCGCGACCAGTCTCAGGCAGGGAGGTCTGGGCTGCTGGGCTCTTATATAAACCAAAAGCTCACTCCCTTCTCTCCTTCTCCGCCCAGACCCACCCTAGCCCCTCTGATTGGAGCTGGTCTGGGTCAGACACACCCTCACCTGTTCTTAAACTACTTTTTTGTTTGGTCCGTCACCAGGACTAGGGAAATGCCAAATCCTCAAAGGAAAGTAATTTCACCTCCTGGGAATTCCTGGGAATCAGTCATTTCTTCAGCAAATATTTAAGCATAATATGTATTATGTTTATTGAACTTCTGGGACGTACCAGGCCATTTTGCTAGCTCCAAGGGTAAAAGGGATACATAAAGAAGACCCTGGGTTTTTAATCGCCTAGAACAGTGGTTTCCAATCAGGGGTGTTTTTTTTTTTTTTTTTTTTTTTTTTTCCTGCTGATTGATCACTCTATTGCCAGGTGTTAGGTTTGGCCAGACCATTCTTCCTGGAGGACAATTTCACTCTGGCCTCAAGCACTAAATGCTGAGAACACCCTGCCCAAATTTCTCCTCCCGACCAGAAATGTTCTCCAGACTCAACACCAATTATCCCCTTGGGAAAAAAAAAAAAAAAAAAAAAAAACACCCCTGATTGGAAACCACTGTTTAGGCGATTAAAAACCTAGGGTCTTCTTTATATCCTTTTACTTTTGAGCTTAGCAAAATGAATTGGTATCAAATAGTTCAATAAACATAATACATATTATGCTTAAATATTTGCTGAAGAAATGACTGATTCCCCAGGAATTCCCAGGAGGTGAAATTACTTTCCTTTGAGGTGATTTGGCATTTCCCTAGTCTCCAGGTGACGGTAGGGACCAAACAAAAAAAAAGTAGTTTAAGAACAGGTGAGGGGGTAGGTAAGTTCGACTCCAGACCAGCTAACTCAGAGGCTGGTGGGTCTGGGCGGAGAAGGAGAGAAGGGAGGAGCTTTTTTGGTTTATATATATCTGCAGCCCAGACCTCCTGCCTGAGACTGGTCGCGGCCTTCCTGCTTTCTTTCATTGTGAGTATCAGCTGTCTCTCTTTCCTTTCCCCATCTCCCGTCTTGGAGATGTTTCCTTACTTCCTTGCATTCTGATCATGCACTGACGGCTTCTTTTCCCCAAGCCCCTTGTCCTCTTTCCCCCAGCTCCCCAGCTCCCAAGTTTCAACGACTCCCATGTGGTGTAAGTGTCTGCCATCTTTCTGTTCTGCCTGCCAGGTGCCCCCGTGGTGTGACTGGGGTCTTCATTTTCAAGGGTGTTTAGGCAGGAGTGGCTCTCAGGGTAGTAAGGTTGTTCCAATCATCCACGCGGAAGGTCTAACTACAACCGCCTCCTGCAGCACTTTAAGTTACCCAGCACCGTGGTTAAATTCCTCTCCTTTGGGCCTGTGACGGATGACATTGCCATATACGGGCACAGTGTTCTCCTAGCTGAGCTATTTCTGTGCTAATCGGGCTGGGTTTGCGCGTGTGCATTTTTGACTTGTGGTAATAAATCTCACTGGTGTACCGCCTCCCTGTACCTCAGGGGGGTCACAAAGTGGGTTTAATCCAAATCTCCCTGCAAGCGAGTTTTGCCTGGCGGTGGTGGGATGGTTGGTGTTCCTTACACAGCCTGTGGTAATTAAACAGGGGGGCACTTTCTGTTCTGGCAGTGCCGCCATTTTTTTTGAGTGTCACTGATTGGGAAGATCCGCCTGTAGGTGGATGGTCCCAAAAAACCTGTCGGGTTCTTCTTGAGCCCAGTCCGGGCTCCCTGGGCAATGCTCTCTGCTCTCCTGTGTAATTTGAAATGTGGAAGCACCTTCGACAAATCAGTGAAAAGTGCTACTATATTTTT